TCAGAAGAAAAAAATGAGGCTCCATCCAAGGGATAAAACAGAATTAATTCATGTTGCATACATCTTAGACATACCTAAGAGCATCGTGTTTATTCTTTTTAGCATACATAATTTTTGCAGCTTTTTTAGTCAAGTTTCAACTTCAAGACGAAAGATACTCGATTCAAAAGCACATTCAAAAGTTGATCAACCTCACAGCGAATGGGTAACTGTCTGACGAAAAAACAACTTTCCGAGCCTCATTCAGAGTCAGTTTCAACTTTACAATGAAGGATATTGAACTCGAAGCGACGCAATTTTTTTTAAATTGGATTTCAACTCCACGACGAAGGATATCCAACTTAAAGAAACATACAAGATTGGATTTCAACTTCACGACAAATGATATCCAACTCAAAGAAAGAGTGTCTGTCAATAAATTTTCTAGTTTCAGAGCCAATTTCAACTTCACGGCGAAGGATATTGGACTCGAAACATCACAACATACATTGATTTTAACTTCACAATGAATGACGTCCAATTAAGAGCTCAATTTCACAGCGAATGAGCCATCCACGATTTTAATTTCACGAAGAAGGATATCGTGCCCGATGAAGTGATTTAGTGTCACAACAAACATGTCATCCACATATTTGACTTCCTTAAGTTAACGATTAGAGCTTCTGAAAGGATTTCTTTAACATGCAGGAACAAGCAGATTATCGATCGCCTTTGAGATTGTTTCTCTCGAAACAAGGGGTCGTCTCGCTTGAGACTAATTTACTCAAAACAAAGTTTTGTCTCTCTTGAGACAGTTTCTCTTGAAATAAATTTTGTCTCCCTTGAGACAGTTTCCCTTGAAACAAATTTTATCTCTCTTGAGACAGTTTCCCTTGAAATAAAATCTTTGAATATGTTTTCCTTGAAACAATTTTCATCTCCTTTGAGACAGATTCTTTTGGAACTAAGTTTTGTCTCTCTATAGGCAGATTCTCTTGAAAAAATATTTGTCTCTCTTGAGACAGTTTCCCTTGAAACAAAATCTTTGAATATGTTTTACATTAAACAAATTTTGTCTCCCTTGAGATAGTTTCTTTTGGAACTAAGTTTTGTCTCTCTTGAAACAAATTTTGTCTCTCTTGAGACAATTTCCCTTGAAACAAAGTTTTGTCTCTCTTGATACAGTTTCTCTTGAAACACACAAAAAAAACCTTTGAAAATATTTCTCTTGAAACACCAAACCTTCAAGTTCGGATACACTCAGCTCAAAGGAACATCATTTGTAGCATAGCTCAAGGAAAGAAGGGCTATCTTCCGACCAAATACCTTCCAGTTCGATTACACTAAGCTCAAGGGCACATCATTTACAGCATAGCTCGAGGCAAGAAGGGCTATCTGTCAATAAAACTTGTCGAGTTCAATTCCATTCAACTTGATGATACATCAATCACACTATTGTCCAGTTGCAGTCGAGGTTTTCAAGTCGAGAAGAATACCTGGGTTAGCCGTGCCTTTGTGACAATAAACCATTTTTCCGGCAGCATAGCTTAAGTCGAGAAAAACTATCTGTCAACAAAGACCTTTCGAGTTCAATTTCATTCAGCTCGAGGGCCTTTCAACCGCATGGTGGAGTCAAAGAACTACTTTCCAGTCAAATTTTAACCAAGGTCTTTAAACCGAGAAGAATACCAAAGTTGACTACAATTTGGCAACGAAAAGCCACATTTCAATTCAAATTCTGAACTACGACTTCAATTCCATTTCAAGATAGACCCGACTTCGCGACGGAAGAGTCATCCATAACTCAACTCGACAGGGAGTTATTCTTCAACTCTATCGAACGAAAATTTGTGTCCTTTTTATCTTTGCCCTATTTTTTGTTACACGAAAAAGAGCAAAGAGGAGCAGCTGTAGACACTAATTTTCGTCCGACATTATACGTTATTTTTACATTACATAGTATGTATATTATGTTGTTATATTACTGTTGTTATTAAACTAATATTTTTTTCATTTGTTTGTTAGCTACAACCCAGTCACTAACCTGAACCGGATCTAGCGGAGCTGTCCTGAAGACTCCTCGTGTTCGACCACATTCCAGCAATTTCACCCCGGATTCCTCGGCAACAACCACAACCAACAAGCATTTCAGTCCTATTAGAGTTCTAAAACTACACGGAGATAGGTTTTTGCTACTATAAATAAATTACATTCGAGAGAGGATGGGGAAGAGTTTCAGGCATTTGAAAAAATAAACGAAATATATTCGAAACTCCATTGATATCCCCTTACCATTCGAACCAAACACCAACAGCAAAGAGAAAAAAGAAGCTTAGAGAGAACCTTACCTCCTGAAAAACGACTCGTGATTTCCTTCTCCAAAATCAAGTGAACCATGTGTCTTCGAATGGGTTGTAAATTCCTCATCGGAGTTGTGAAAGGAGTGGTGGCCATGAAGGATTTTGGCCTCTGGTTCATCTTCTCTCAAGGAAAAAGAAAAGAAAAAGGGGAGATTGTGGCTTGATGAGAGAAGCGGCGGGAATATTAAAACCAAAAAGGTTAAGTTTTGTTAAACCTAATTTAGGTTTTAAATGGAAGCCATCCAAACGGACCGTTTGGTGCCATCTCCCTCAATTAGTGTAAATGAATTAAATCCAGGGATTTGTTTGTTTTTGGAGAATGGGATAAGTACATTGATAATCCCTTTGTCTTTTTGGTTTCATGTTTTAGCTACCAAATGAAGTCTTATTTAATTTCGGATACTTTATTTTAAGTTTTTATGATTTAATCCTATTATTATACATTATGTTATTATTGTTAATATTTAAATTTGGCCATGATATCTGCAATTATTGCATTTAGTCATTGATTTTTTTATGTTACATTATTTTCATTGGTGTTTAATTTTGACCCTGCAATTTATGTATATTCTATTTTGATCACTATTTAGACAGTTGGTTTAATTGTTGTTAGGATCCTTCATATTTACATTTATTTATTTATTTTATATTTGTTTCCCTTTAATTTTAATATTTTTTGTATTTCTTTTAACATCGTTTTTGTATATATATTTTTCTTTTTAAACTCTTTTATTTTTTTAAAGACTGAATATTTTTTTATTTTTTTCTTTAATAGTATTTTTGTAAGTTTATCTTTTTATTTTTTCCTCTTTTTTTATGTTCTTTGAATATTTTTTATTTCTTTTTTTTTATTTTTTTTCTTTGACTTATTTTGTTTTATTTTTTATTTATTTTTTTCAATTCATTTATTTATTTATTTTTCTCTGATTTTTTTTATTTTTTTGGTTTATTATTTTATTATTACATTGCTTCTTTTTTACTTTTTTAATATTTATATATTATTGTTTATCTAACATTTTCAACATTTTCTAGAAGAATTTCAACCAATCAAAGGTAAGTAATTCGAATCGAATATTTTAAATTTCAATTTAAATTTGAAATTTTCGCAACTAAGACAACAAAAAAATTAATTGGTATCGAAAGGGCGGTTCAAGGGTGCTAATCTTTCCTTTACCGTAACCGACTCTGATATATTTCTGGTAAAACGCAGATCAGGTAAGATGGTGTCCGACCCACCTAAATTCGTTTTAAAATGGTCGGTGGCGACTCTAATCCAATTCATTCACGTCGAAGCCCAACTTCGGGGTCCAACCGAAAGATGACTCCGAAAGTCCGACGAGGCGGTGGCTGTTCATCTTACTGATAAACATTTGAGAGGAAAAGTTGAAGAAGAGGGGGAGGCTTTTGGCTTAGAGAAGAGAGATGAGAACATTAAAAAAAATTGTCCTTTATACATGGCCCATAAAACCCGTTCGTTGACCCGACTCAGGTCACCAGATTCGCGTGTTTTTGAACACAAAAGGGGAAATTCATTTTTGGTCCCCTTATTTTTTTGACATTTTATTTTGACCCCAAATTTTACTTTTGCACCAATTTCTCTTCTAATTTGGCCTTTTAATTTTGATTTTATTTTAAATTAGCCCTTTTTATTATTAATTATTATCATATTTTTTATATTTGTTTATTATATATATATATCTATTTTTATATTTTTATATTTTTTATCTTTTATTATTATATTTCCCGACTATTATTATAAATCTTTTTCTCTCTCTACTATTTAATTATATATGTATATATACGTTATTATTATATATACATTTTTTTCATTTTTTTATTTATTGTAAATGTTATATTTTATTATTATATATATATATACATATATTTTATTTATTATTCTTATACCCTTTTATTTTTAGTTTCCTTTATTACTCTTTATTTATTGTTTTCATTATTATTAGTATTATTATTATTATTATTATTCTATTTTACTTATTTTTATTTTATTTTTTTATTCTTCATCTTTATTTTTTTTATCTTCTTTATATTTGTTTTATTTATTTATCTATTTGTATTTTCTTCTTATTTTTATTTATTTGTTTATATGTATATATTATTATTATTATTATTATTATTATTATTCTTTTTTTTCATTTTATTTTTATTTTTTATTTATTGTATTCATTTTTATCTTTACCCTTTTTATTTCATTTACTTCGTTCGTTTTTTACTTTCTTTATTTTATTTATTTTTAATTTTTATTTAACATGTTTCTTGACTGTCTTATGGGTATATTTTTAAAATTATTCGAGGTAAGTTTTGGATCGTTATTTTACTTTTTAATTTAAATTTATAATTTTCTTAATTAAAGACAAGTAAAAATTACGTAGTACCGAAAGGACAGTTCAAGGGTGCTAACTCTTCCTTGACTATAACCGACTCCCGAATCTGACACATCTTTGGTAAGACGCAGATCAGGTAAGAAATAAGGTATCCGGTCGACCCATTTATTTTAAAATAAATAATCGATAGCGACTCTAATCATTTAATCCAAATCGAAACCCAATTTCATTTTAAACCAAATAATTAAAGAACAATACAAGTACAAACTCATTGTCAAAGAACTTTGGCTCTCGACGAAACATCAAAGGGAGCATAAATAATAATAATAAAAAAAGGACAGGTCTACTCTGTTCACTGGGTCGCTCGTTCAAACACCGAGTCGAGGAAGTTCCAGATCACGATCTCTTGAGTTTGACAACAATGGCGAAGCCGAGGCATTCTCGAGTTCCTGGCCGGAAATCGTCATCTTCAACCATGGTTCTAACGGCGCAGATCATGTTCACTTTCCTGGTTTTGATCCTTTTGGCGCTCGGAATCCTTTCGATTCCAACCAGAACTCATTATGATGAAGGGGTAGGAGAACAATGGGTTGAAGTCATCTTCTGGGAGCCTAGAGCTTTTATCTATCATAATTTCTTGGTAAGTTTTATTCCTTTTTAGTTGAATACGTTATTGCAATTGAAATTATTAATTAAACAAGCATCTTTTAAAACGAAATCAACCTTATAAAAAATTATGAAGTATATCGTAATATATTCTTAGTTATTTGACGGATCCATAAGATATGAGATGATTTTTTTTGGTCAAAAGTTTATGGAATTGTTCATGGGGATTAAAAAGGTAGAAAAGGAAAGTCAGATAAAGTAAACACTAGAATGATAATGAATTTATGTTCATTTATCTACTTTTTTAGCAGCTTCTATTATGAAACGAATTTATGAAGTAGCAGGGAGCTAATTCTTAGATTAGAAAGATTCCAACCTGATCATGATCTTTATTTGATACTTTGTCAGTCCAAGGAGGAATGTGAATACCTAATTGACCTTGCCAAGCCTCACATGGAAAAATCAACAGTTGTCAATAGTGAAACTGGCAAGAGCAAAGGTAGCAGGTATGTAATTATTAGTGTTATTGTTACATAAGTTTTCCACTGTATCTTTCTTAACTATTTGATTTTATCCGATCCTTGATGTATACGTATAGAGTACGTACAAGTTCTGACACATTTCTGCCTAGAGGTCGTGATAAAATTATTAGAAACATTGAGAAAAGGATTGCAGATTGTACCTTCATTCCAGTTGGTATGTGCTATTATCTGGATTGATCCGGATTATCATGTTTTATTTATTAAAGTCTTCTTTAACTAGGTTCTGGTTTTTAACGCTATATGTATAAAGTTGCTCGTGTCAACAAAATTATATGCAGAGCACGGAGGAGTTCAAGTTCTCCACTATGAAGTTGGCCAAAAGTATGAGCGTCACTATGATTACTTCATGGATGAGTACAATACCCAGAACGGGGGCCAACGCATAGCTACGGTCCTTATGTACCTGTACGTGACTTCATAGATTTTTCCTGTATTTCTTATTCTAATGTATTATAGGTAATTTATTATAAGATAGTTGACCTTTCTTCTTTCTTCCTTTTTTTTAATCTATTTACAGCTCAGATGTTGAAGAAGGGGGAGAGACGGTGTTTCCTGCTGCAAGGGGTAATGTCAGTGCTGTGCCTTGGTGGAATGAATTATCTGAATGCGGAAAAGGGGGACTTTCTGTCAAACCAAAGATGGGTGATGCATTACTTTTCTGGAGCATGAAGCCTGATGCAAGTCTAGATCCTTCAAGCCTGCACGGTTAGTTGTAGATACTAATTGACTAGCTCTGAAACGTGATTCTAATCTCAGTTATATTGCAAAGTAACATTTCCATTTTTTGAGATTCATGCCCTCGCATTTCTTTTGCATCAATTGTTTATCACAAGTTAATATCTTCTTTGTCTTCTTCATTCGTTTTCTGGGTTCATTTATTATTTACTATTTTTGTCATCCAGGTGGATGCCCTGTGATTAGAGGAAATAAATGGTCATCTACAAAATGGATGCGAGTCAACGTGTACAAGGTCTAAACAGCAGTTATAAAGGTAACTAATTTTTCTATATAGCTATGAGAATTTATGCTAAAACTATAGTTCCTTTATCTATGCCTCTTAAAGTAAAATAATGAATATGAAGATTATAACATATGTAATGTAGTTCTACATCATCAAGAAGAGTAAAGCTTACTGTAGATGCTTTTGAAATGCATAAGAAAGGGTCTTGCATTTAATCCATTGTTCTTGAAGTCGGTGTATTTTAGAGTAATTCAAACAATCACTTGACAGCAAATGATGAATCTGATAGACATACTTTGTTAGTTGACAGGTTTACTGCCTATATTTTGGTTCTCATTTTTCTGGTGAGTGTCCTAACAATGTGGCAGAATTAAAGCTCAGACCAGCTATTTGATGAGAATGGTTGTTTGTGTGTATGAGTCTTATCTTGATGAGAATGGTTGTTTGTGTGTATGAGTCTTACCTTGTGTAATGGTTAGCTACATCTTTGATATCGATATGGTGTACTATTTTTCCACCATTAGATGTAGGGATGCTTTTTGAAAAGATATCGATATGGTGTATTATTTTTCCACCATTAGATGTAGGGATGCTTTTTGAATGATGCTCATGTTCGTGTTTGTTTTGTATACGATTTTGATTAATAACATACCAAATTTTCCCTTTTAATTTTTTTTATTTCTTAGTTCTTTCAATAAATTCTTCCTAATATATCGAAGCACATTGGCGGATATAGGCGTTACAAAAAATTTTGGGGAAAAATTTTACAAACAAATTTAATATAAAATATTTAAAAAAATATAAAATTAATATATTTTTAAAAGAATATTGACACTCTTAAACTAGGGGTTCAAAAAAATCCGAAACCGTTAACTGTAATTGTTAGTCGGCATAATTGTTATATTTAACAGGTTAATTAACCGAATCGTTAATACTAAACGGTTTCGGTTAACCAAACCATTAAAAATGATTGTTAAGGTTACGGTTAAGAATTTTGATAAACGGTTAACCAACGCTTAATCGTTAATAAATTAAATTTATAATTATATTTCTAATTTATTATATTTTTACATAAATAACTTAATATAAGTTTTTATTATTTATAATTTATATATAATGAAATTTGTATACAAATAATTAATATATATATTTTTTATTTTTTATTTCTTTGAAAATATAGAAACATACTTACGCTAATATAATTATATGTTTATTGTTAGGTACTAAGATATTGAGAGATGTACATACATATACCAGTGTAAGTGTGTGTTAAGTGCTACATTTTTTTATTTTATTTACTTACACCATTGTAAGTATGTGTTAAGTGTTACACTTTTTTATTTTATTCACTTATATTGATATAGTATGTGTTAAGTTATACACTTTTTTGTTTAATTCACTTACACCGGTATAAGTATGTGTTAAGTGCTACACTTGTTTATTTTTATTCACTTACACCGGTGTAAGTATGTGTTAAATATTACATTTTTTTAAAGTGAGTTATGAAAAATTGACAAACAATTGTAATAGTTTAACCGTGGTTAACCTGTAACTAAACTATTAATAATGATTAACGATTAGCGATTAACCGTTTCTTAATGGTTAGATTACAGTTAGAAAAATCTCATAACCGTCCATGAACAACCTTACCTTAAACATAAATTCACACCTATTATTTATTTCTATCCACTAAAACAAGTTTTTTAAAGTAATTTTTATAAATTTGACACCTTAAAAAAAATTCTTTAAAATTGATACCTCAAAATAAATTTTCTAACTTTGCCCCTATCGGAGCAAGCTAAATTTTACTAATTCAATATGTATTATATGAGATATACAATCTCTGTATCTATAGAGCATTGAAACATATAATATATTGTGAGTTTAACTTAGTTCAATAAGTAGTGCTAATCGATAGACTAAATGTAGTATTATTTGAAATCTTACCTATGAAATGAATATATTTAGATAATAATTATCACACGCAGTAATATTTGAAAGTTATAAATTGAAGAGGAAAAAGGTTGAATTTTCAAACAATTTTACAATTAATTACTTTTTGTCAATGATCTTGTTTCAATAATCAAAGAGTTATAAAAATTTATTTTATACTTGAGGACTTAAGAAAGTTCAGAATTTAAGATTTAGAATTTAAAAAAAAAAATTTAATTTCATCATATGACCTCAATCTATGACTCTTATTTTAAATTGGTCCCTAAATTTTAAAAATTTCAATTTCATCCTTGAACATTTCAATTTAATCCTAAATTATATGTGTATACTAATTACATCCCTTGTTGATAAAATCGTTAGACCAAGTTATATTACTATATGTTTGAAAAGAAATAAAATTTGGGTTAAAGTATGGCTGAAATGAATTACATATTTGGATGAATTTGGAGATAAAATTGATATTAATAGTTTGGGGATAAAATTGGAATGTTCAAAAGTTTAATGACTAATTTAGAATGAGATTCATAGTTTTGGGATAAAATTAAAATGTTTAAAAGTTCAAAGACTAATTTGAAATGAGGGTCATAGTTTATGGATATATGATGCAGTTAACTCTAAATAATTAATTAAAATACCAGGAGTCTTTGCAAAAACAACAGCTCATTTATCGCCCTTCTTTACTTGCAGTCCCTTTGATCTATATTTAATACGTACTATATTTATGCATTATCCCATCTAGCCATCAATCACGTTATATCATTTATTAATTTTAAATATTTCTTTATTAATAATCTGACCGTAACAAATACAAAATTATTATTTTTTGTATAGTTTAACATTCTTTTGTAATTTTTAAACGTTTCGTGTCAAAAAAATCATATTTTAGGATAGTTTAGTGGTAGTATATGAACTTTACCCAAAATCAAACGTGAGAGTCATATAATTACTGTTGACTTTTTTGTCTTTTGTCTTTTATTCCCCCCCCCCTAATTTACGACCAATTGCAACCCATTCAATGCTGAGCTGTGTTTAGCTTGCTTCACATTACTTGTAGTGGGATGTTATTTAATTGGTTAAAGTACACAAATAGTCTCTCGACTATACGGTGGTGTTTTGTTGACCCCCTAACTATTAGAAGTTGTAAAATAATTAATTGATTATTCATATATTTCAAACTCGTCATTTTCTGTTAAAAATTAGTGATCATTTGAGTTGCGTTAATTTACTAACTGATATATGATAAAATTTGATCCTAGAATCATTTGAGTTGTATTTTGTAGATCGACTCTTCGTTTATATTATGTTTTTGAGCCAATACTTGAAATATTATATCGTCGAGCCAATATTTATAAGAAATGACGGTGCCAGTAGGCAATAGACATCATTAAAATATGAATTTAACACATCTCAGTCAATAGGTTAACGTGCAGCTCAAATGACCATCAAATTTTTAATAAAAAAATGTGAGTTGGGAACATATAAATAGACAAGTAATCATTTTGTTACTTTTAATAGTCGGTAACTCAATAAAATAACACCCTATAGTCAAAGATCATTTTATAACCTTTAATAGTCGGAGAACTAAATAACTTATAATTGGGGATCATTTGTGTTCTTTGCCCTATGTAATTTAGGTTAAAATCTATTTTCAGTTTCTGAACTAAAACAAAGCTTGAGATGTAATCCCCATATCTAAAAACTTAAAAATTAAGTTTTAATATTTTTTTCGATTTAAAGATCTTAGTTCAACCATTGATCCTTTTAATATTCCTTATCAAATAAACATGTCAAACCGGAAAATTTTGATGAAAGTATTAATAGAATAAAGGATTAAATTAAATATTTTACATATATATATATAATTTGAAGTATAGAGACTGCTAGCAAATTTGAATCTTTAATTTAGGAGTATTTTCATAAATAAGAAAAGTATAGGGAGAGAAAGTGCAAAAACCGGGAGACTATCCAAGTGCAATTAAGGAACAATACAAGTACAAACTCATTGTCAAAGAACTTTGGCTCTCGACGAAACATCAAAGGGAGCATAAAAAGGGGGGGGGGGACAGGTCTACTCTGTTAACTGGGTCGCTCGTTCAAACACTGAGTCGAGGAAGTTCCAGATCTCGATCTCCTGAGTTTGACAACAATGGCGAAGCCGAGGCATTCTCGCTTTCCTGGCCGGAAATCGTCATCTTCAACCATGGTTCTAACGGCGCTGATCATGTTCACCTTCCTGGTTTTGATCCTTTTGGCGCTCGGAATCCTTTCGATTCCAAGCAGTAACCTGGGAAATTCGCATAAACCCAACGATTTGAGCACGATTGCTCATAACGTTGTCGGCAAGTGAGTTTTTTTCTTCTTCTTTTTCTTTTGAAATATTTTGGTTCAATTTATGATGGCAATCTGGTAATAGCCCTGCTTGTAAGTTTGTGCGCGTTTTTGGAATCGGCAGAAATGATTATGACGAAGGGGTAGGAGAACAATGGGTTGAAGCCATCTCCTGGGAGCCTAGAGCTTTTATCTATCATAATTTCTTGGTAAGTTTTATTACTTTTTAGTTGAATACGTTATTGCAATTGAAATTATTAATTAAACAAGCATTTTTTTTTAAAAAAAAATCAACCTTATAATAATTTATGAAGTATATCGTAATATATTCTTAGTTATTTGGCGGATCCATAAGATATGAGATGATTTTTTTTTGTCAAAAGTATATGGAATTGTTCATGGGGATTAAAAAGGTAGAAAAGGAAAATCAGATAAACACTAGAATGATAATGAATTTATGTCCATTTATCCACTTTTTTAGCAGCTTCTATTATGAAACGAATTTATGAAGTAGCAAGGAGCTAATTCTTAGATTAGAAAGATTCCAACCTGATCATGGTCTTTATTTGATACTTTGTCAGTCCAAGGAGGAATGTGAATACCTAATTGACCTTGCCAAGCCTCACATGGGAAAATCCACAGTTGTCAATAGTGAAACTGGCAAGAGCAAAGATAGCAGGTATGTAATTATTAGTGTTATTGTTACATAAGTTTTCCACTGTATCTTTCTGAACTATTTGATTTTATCCAA